AGAAGTCAGGCTGAATAGATATTGTGCATATGGTTTGCAGAACTCTCATGAATATAAATTCATGTTATCCCAAAAAAGGTGACACTTTGGGTGTATCGTCCATCCCAGGGATGCAAAAATCAGATCACCTTGGATCTATAATAAAAATTTATGTGTTCTTAATTCATTTTATGGGCTTTAAAAAATAAAGTTTATTTTTATTTATTTTTTAATTTTTTATTCTTACATAAATGAACAAAAACGGAACAGCTAAAATGAATGATAATCAAATTAGAGCAGAAGGTAGAAGGTTATTTAAACGCTTCTATAACATTCCTGATGGTGCTAATCCTAAAACTCGTAGGAGCTATTTAAATGAAGCAATAGATGCATATGAAGGGTTTGACATTTCATCAGAAAGTGAGAGATTAGCGAGAATGTTAAATGTTAATATTGATTTCTATTATTGTGATCCTCAACCAGAAGACGTGGACATAAATAAGGTAGACTTTCCATTAGTGGAATCAATAATGATAGATCCAGAATTTGAAACAGTAAATATTTTATTAACACAGAGTCCATGTGGAAAACTTCACGCTGACAGAATAACAGACGTTGAAGCACTCACCGGCTATAAAGTTTGTCCATATTGTAAAGAAGAAGTTTATTCTATCCGCGATGATCCAGAAAGGAAAAACCAAAGAAGATTTTTAAAGCATTGTGAGAAATGTAAAGAAAATAATGGGAGATTAATTCAAGACGTTCAGTTGCAAAAGACACAGCAACCATAATGCACACATAATTACGAAACAGAGAAACAGAAGATATATCAGTGGTTATTAGCTCACAATTTGCAGGAATATTATAAACCGACAAGATATTATATTACTTTTGACTTTGAAACATTAGAGACTAAAGAAGAATTACAACTTTCTGAGTGTGCAACTTTGAATGCTTACTTAAAACCATTCATGGTATCATCAACGGTTAAATTAAATGATAAAACATATACGAGGAATTTTTGCTTAATTTCGAGTGATTCTTTTATGAATAAGGCTGTAGGTTGTGAAAATGGATGTTGTATGCCATTTATTTAATACAATTTAAAAACGTAGGGGTTGAGTCATGAATTTAAAATTTTATTTTTAATAAAATGCCACAGAAGAGACAAAAGGAACCATTAATGATGTGATTCAATATGTAAATAATGGTTTTGATACTATGATTCAAAGAGGTGGGCACCCTTAAAACATTTATTTTATTTTTATATAAATGGATAACGTAGATTTAGAAATTTTAATTGATGATTTAGTATTTTATCAAAATTTTCTTGATTATTACGATTTAAAAGCATATCTCCAAAAACATAATAACAATATAACGGGTGATGATATGGATTATTATTATCCATATTATAAAAATGAAATTTTGAAATATCATGATAAAATAATTTCTAAAATTAAAGACAAAATTAAAAATAATGAATATACAAAGGGAAAAACTAAATCACAACTTAAACAATTGAAAGATTTCAAAAATAAAGTATTAACAGAAGAAGAGATTGATGAATTATATAAATTATATAATCCTGAGCCGCAAAAAACAAAGGAACAAAAACAAAAGAAGAAAAAACCGAAAACAACACCAAAAGAGAAAGTAGCAAATGTTCAACAGCTAAAGGTGCAAAACGCCCAGGTCCTTCAGACCATAAATGATGCACAAGCTTTAATTTATGATTCATTAGTTAAACCATATTCAGCCCGACTTTTAAATGAAGATCAACTTTTGGAATTCATCCTTCAACATAAACTCGAAGCGGGAAAGTATATCAAACCTTTATATACAGCATATTTAAAACAAATGAATAGAATACATCCAGAATTAATGAAAGGAAAATCAACAACTAAAACTTCATCATCCAAAATCAAAGCAGATAAAATTAAACCACTTGCAACACCAAAACCTCCAACGGTAGTACCTCCTCCTTCAGTTAATCCTTCATCATTCACTTTATTATATCCATTTCAAACATTAAAGAAGCAAAAAGATTTTAAAAAGGATTTCAAAATATTAAATAAACCAACTGACCCGAAAATTCAACCGTTAAAGGAAAAATTTAGTCGCCCTTCATTTGCACCATATCCATATTCATACGAAATCGATCATTTAGAATATTCAAAAGGAAACGTTACTTATTTATTTGCCATTAACATTAACACCAGATATTTATATTGCATTCCGGTGAAAGGGAAAACAGAACAGGAAACAAGAAGAGCTATACAATACTTACTAGATCATGGAAGAGTAGATAATATAAGGGGTGATGGTGATAAAGGATTTCAGGCAGCTATGGCTCATTATTTCCCACAAATTAATTTTTACTTTTCATCCTCTCCATATACGTTTCATAATAAAATAGTTGATGCGGTAATGAGAACTCTTAGAGATGCGTTAGGGGTTAACGGTCAGATATACTGGGATGGAAATCATGACTCCATCATACAGCAGTTAGTATATTATTACAATAATACATGGCATAGAACTATAAACATGAAACCAGTGGAAATGAAAAATGATATTTCAAAAGAATGGGAATATATTAGAAAGCAAATGGAAAGGTTAAATGATGTTAAACGTGAACAAATTAATTCGGGGCTCATGAATTTTAAACAAGGGGATAAAGTTTTGATTCATCTCGATTATGGAAAAACTGATAAATCAATGACAAAAAGAAGACGAAGATTTGACACAATAGCTGAATTTGTTAGATATATTAACGGCAATGCATTAGTTGAAGTTGACAATAAATTAATAGAAATTCCGATTTATTTTATTACTCCATTATATTTAAATAATATTTAATTTTTTTATTTCGTAAGAAATGAGTGACAACAAAGCATCCAAGAGTCCTGATTCAATTAAGATTCAGAGTCCAGACGATGAATATAAAAAGAAACTAAACAGAATTAAATCAAAAATATGCTATTATAAAAAGAAGCCGCAATGCGGTGGGGCTGAAAACGATAAAGAGAGGAAAGAAATAATCGAAAAATTAGAAACTTACCGTTCAATCCTTAAACTGAGTGAAGCAAAAATAAAAGAATTTAATAGAATAAATAAATTGATTGGAAGAGATGAATTTAATAAAGATGAATTTTTAAACTCAATCCAAATTTAATTTTTTCAGTGCTACCATGTTACCATGTGTTACCATGTCAATTAACTTCTCTTAAAAATGATGACAACATAACATTTTGACAACAACACAGGAAATAAATGTTATCGTTTATGTTTTCATTAATGATTTTAGGTTATTCAATAATTAATTATTTATTTTTGAATAACTGGGAAATAAATTTACGTCAAATATGTAATTTATAAAATCTTATGTCGACAGGCTACGTAGCACAGTGGTCTAAGGTGGTGTTATGGAGGAGTCAGGGTCTGTTGTTCGAACCGCGACAGCGCCGTATTTTCTGATTTTCTTTGTTTGTCTTGTTTGTCGTGAATAAAAAGTGTCATAAAAGTGCTCTATCTTCCACGGGAATATTGTCGTGAATAAAAAGTGTCATAAAAGTGCTCTATCTTCCACGGGAATAAATAAAAAATTTACTTTATTTCTTCTTTATTTCTTTGTTCCCGTGGAAGAAGGGTTTTGCTGTTTTTTCTCAGCCGAAATCAATGATTTTTTCATTTTTGGAATCCTTAGCGAATGAGGAATCTTTTCTCTCGTGGAAGCTTTGACCAAAAATATAATAAAATGTCATGTTGTCATCATTTTTAAGAGAAGTTAATTTACCTGGTTGCACATGGTAACATGGTAGCAGTGAAATAAAATTTTGTTATCAGTTATTTTATCATCATTTTATTTAGTTCATCTTTAGTTAATAATTTGAATGGATTCGCTAATGTTCCACCTTGAGTCACAACACTTGCCCCGGCTAATTGTGAAGAACCTGGGATAAGTACTCCATGAAATGATTTCATTGGTATCATTAATTTAGAAATAGTTGGCTTAATTAATTTTGTCATTTATGATAAAAATAAAATTGCATAATTTAAATTTTTTTCTTTCTCATTTTCTCATTTTCTCATTTTCTCATTCTGTTTTGGTTTCAGTAACTTTTCAAGTTGTTGTCTTGTCAGTAACTTTAATTTTAACTTTGGATCAAATATTGGGTTTCCATCTTTATCTCTTCCAATAACACCATATGGTAGAATCTTCATTTATACTAAAATAAAAATTTAAATTATGCCGTTCGCTCTTTTGGAGCTCAGGACTTTCAGTCCGTTCTAAAGTTTGTTTCACAAGCATTGAGCGTTCATTGAACGCGAAACCATGCGAATACAGTCATAAATGGTGGCATATAATCTTCACCCGAGCCTGTTGGATTTGTTGTGAAAGTGTGTGAATGATTTCCTCCTGGTTCAGTTTGTCGAAAAGTCTTTTTTGTTGAATCGTTATAAGATGGAGATAAAACGTCATAACCAGCTTCATAGTCTGAGTTGTATAATGGGTGGTCTCTTAATGAGTGTCTATGGTCGCCAGAAAAGTTTGTAGTTCCCGTATGAGTGTGCGGTGGAAGGTTTGCTTCTTTAATTTTCTTCGAACCTCCTGTTTGCTTTGAAGAGTTAGCACAATAGAGGAAACGATCGGTTATTTGTTGCCATGTACCGAAACCGAATACATCAGCTGGATTTGTTGAGTTCATTGACGTATATAAAGAACCAATGGGGTAAATCATCTCAAGAATTGTATTTAATCCATTATGAATATTGAATTTATTATATAATATTGAATTTGGGTGAGTATTTAAAACTGGTCTTGTTATCAATATTAACGTATTATTTTTGAAAATTGCTTTTCTAACATCTTGAAATTTTGTGATTTCAGACCAGTTTCTTCCATCACTACTGATGTTTACTAAATCACCACATCCGAAAGCAATGAAATACCCATCAATATAAAATAAATTTGTAAATCTATAATTTCGAGTAAGTTTTGGAGTGAATGAATAAACCAATTCCCAATTTGATAAATCCTGTGATAAATAAATATGTCTGTTATAACTTACAGGATATGAATAGACCATTTCACCTGAAACGAGAACACAAACATTTGATCCATAACATAAAGCTTCAATGTCTCCATCGGCTTGAAAAATTTGTTCAAAACGACCTTGTGGTATTGAATATGATCTATAAATTTTATCATTTTGTAGGATAAAATACATGTTGTTAATGTAATACCACTTACTTGTATAATCAATTTCCAAATCTGATGACATCATACTAAACATATAATAATTTATCCCATCCTCACTAATGAAAATTTGATTGACTTCATAAATTAGTACCCATTTATTATTAACGCATCTAATAGGATTATTTGGATATTTAAATTTAGCATCTTGATTTAAATTACATTTGAACCATTGGATACAATCGAATGAATAACAAGGGCAAAAATCATCTCCAACCGTTATCATTCCCATAAATTTACCGTTATTATATTCAACATATAAAATTCTTGGATTAATGATTGGCTTTCGTGTATCAGGATTCCAAACAGATGGAGTAAATGATTCATAGTTTTTAAAATCATTTGTTTTAAAATAATAAAGCACTCCAGCTATATAAAATAAATACATGGTCACTCCATCGAAACATATCCATTCAAAAGAATCTATATCAAAGGTTTTATCTGATGATTTCATAAAATTTAAAAATGGTGGGGTAAAATAGACCTCTGATTGTTTTATTTCTTCATTAACAAATGATATATCAGCTTTCTTTGCTAACTCAGTATTAATGAATGAAATAACTTTTTCCTTATCCGCCTTCTTCTCTAACTCATCGTTAACATATTTTTTATCTGCTTTAAGGTCTAAACATCCTGAAACCCATCCTGTATCAGCTTTAACTTTAAAAGTCTCAAATGTCCATTCCTTATCCGCCTTCTTCTCTAACTCATCGTTAACATAAGTTTTATCTGCTTTCAGGTCTAAACATCCTGAAACCCATCTTGTATCAGCTTTAACTTTAAAAGTCTCCGATGTCCATTCATGATACCATTCAACTTTTTCTTTAATTTCATTATCTTTTTCATCAACATAAACCAAATTTGCCTTCTTATTTAATTCAGTATTAACGTATTCCTTATCTGCTTTCTTCTCTAACTCACTATCCACATATTCCTTATCTGCTTTCTTCATTATGTCGTTTAGGAAACCTTCTATGAATTCCTCATTTAAATTAAATCTTCCAATCTTCAAAACTTTAGGAAATGCATTTAATGCGTAATATCTCTGTTCTTCTGGTGGAATTGATGTTATATCATCCGTTATACCTTTAATTTTAGAATTCATAAATAAAATTTCTTTTATATTTGATATCACTGCACCACCTTTGCAAACGAATTCGAAACAGTCATTTTTCAATACTATCTCCAAATCTCCATATTTCAACCTTTGCGTTTGTTCTGCCGTCTTTGAATTATATGCATATATGGCGTATGTAATGGTCTGAAGGACCTGGGCGCTTTGCGCCTTAAGTTGTTGTGGTTGCTGTTGTTTAATCATTTATTATGATTTAAAAATAAATATTTAATCCGTTATCTCATCAGCTATTTTCTCTATTTGAAATTGCCATAATATTTCATTCATAAATTCTAAATCACAATCAAATAGGTCAGTTATTCTAAATTTAATATTTGATAAATCTTTTGAATGAAGAATAAATGAATTCCCGGATAATTGAAACGGATATGATAAAGAAAATGTGTTTAAGTTGATGGATAAAATGTTTTGTATTGATGGGTAAGAGTTAGGGTCTAATGTTTGATGTGAAAATCTCATTGGGGTATTAACTTTATCACATTTGATTAAAATGAAATTGGAACCAGTGTCAGAATACAAAACATCCCCAACATCTTTTTCAAAATTTAATATCCCCAACAATGAACGAAGATGAGGAGTACAAAATTTAATTTTCAGCGGGAATTTAATAAGGTTATTTATTTCATCAAGTTCAAAAAGTTTATCGGGTTTTGATTTAAAATTTTCTTCATACCATACGATAAATGATTCATTTAAATAACTTAAAATCGTGTTAATATCCCATTTCGCGATCACATTATTTATATACATATCATACGTTTTTTCAAGGTCATCTTTAATAAATGATATATAATCTGAAGGGTCTAAAAGAATGGGATTAAATTTACCACTCACAGAAACGAGAGTAACATTATAAATTCCGCTAACTGTTAAATTTAATTCACAGTTATTATTCGAAATAATATTGATAATTGACATTTTTATTACGATTAAAAATATGGTAAAGCGTTATTTTCCAGTGATAAATAAAACTAGAATAAGATTACCTCAAGAATTCATAAATTCAACGAATAAGAAATTCATTCATGTTATAAATTTTAGTGTTTTCAGAAAATATGAGTCAGTGTCATATTCATCAACAGGTTATATTTCACTTCATTCAAATTTAGTTCAATCAAACCCATATAATGACCATTTCATAAGATTTTCAGATGGTATTAAAAATGTAATTGATAGATTAAAATATGAACAGATTGACAATATCGAATTTTTGGAATTTTGGTTTAAATATCCCGATGGAAAAAAGATTGAAGTTAAAGATAAAGCTGACACTATAACAAAAACAATTACAATGACCGATCCGGATAGTGGGGAACAAAAAGAAATAAAACAAACGATAGAAACTGGTGAAAGGTCAATTATTATTGATTATGATTCAAAGGATTATTATTCGATAATGTTAATGCTTGAATATTAAATAGCCTTAACAAAGAATTTTTCAAGTGATATTTTATATTCATCAACTATTTTATTATAAATATCATTATATGTTAAATGAAGTTCAGTTGTTGTTCCGTTCTTTGATATCTTAATTGTGCTAATATCCTTTATAGGATTTATTTTTGCAACTGTTCCGCAGCATGAAACCTCATCATCTATGAAAAATTGAATCTTAACGTCTGAATCTTGAACATCACAAAGAATGGCGATAATGTGAATTAATGATTCATAAGGTAAAATAATTAAACCAGATTGATCAATTAAATTTATTATTGAATCATAATTATTAATTATTATATCACGGTAAATTTAGTTAGTATACATATCATGGGTACGGAGGCACTGCGCGCCACCTTACCCTTGATATGTGAATTTGACACTTTACAAAACCGTTAACGTATATTTTACAACACAAACGACAACACTAACTTAACCTTAAATATTTACAAAGCCACCAACCACTTCACCTCACTAATGTAAAAAATAAACGTTCTCACTTACAAAAGTATTGCAACTCCTCCCATTGCTGTGCTTCACATAACAGCTCATAATCTTCTGACTCACTTTCTTCTTCATATAGGTCAAAGTCACTGTCAAAATAAATGTTAGTAAGTTTTGACAAAGCTAATGAAACACGCTTACCGTTTGTATCATATGCTTGTATAAACTTTCCATTATGTTTGTTGTCATAAACGCTCAAACTAACTTTACCCTTTCTCCCTCGTATCTGATAGAATGTATTTTCACGAGGAACGAAGAACAAATTCTTGAACTCATGACCGTTGTAGTTTGTTATCTCAATAGTTTTCGTCATTTATATAAAAATAAAATAAAAAATAAACTTAAAATTAATGATATCACCACTCCCACACGTATGAAAACATAGCACAAAAATAAATTTAGGTGAAGTGGTGAGATCTCACCTCTTTTTTCACCTCTTTTTTCACCCTGTTGAATTCATTGCTTTATAACTCTCTTCCTTTCTCCAACTCTTCTAACTTCTTCCTAAGTTTAGCAATGTTGTCCTCATGAAGTTTAATCTTTCTCAAAATTCCTTCTTTATCTAATGGTTGCTTTATCTTTCTAAACTGAACTCTACCATCCTTCATAGTATGAACGTAAAAACCTTCTGGAACCGCTCCTGATTTAATGTATTCTACCAAAAACTTTTGTTTCATTGCTTCAGTGACTTTACTTGTCATTTCAATAAAATAAAAATTTTAATATTAAATAAAAATAACGTTATTTTTTTCAGTAAGGAAACGCAGGAGTTTTACGATTTATTTGAGGAGTAGGTTCTGGTTTAAATGTTGGAGTCGGTTTAGGAGTTGACTTTTGAACAGGAGTTTGTACTTTCATAGGTTCAGGAGTCATTGAAGGTTTTGCTTGTGAAGGTGTTGGTTTTGACGTTGGTTTTGGCGAAGGTGTCGGAGTTTGTTTAACTTCAGCTACTTCAGTATTATTTACAACATTTGCTTTATTTCTTTTCAACATCATAACTGCTCCTGCTGTAGCTAGCAAACCTAGTGGGAGACCATATCTTATATAAGGACTTGACCAAATGCTATTTTTGACAGGAGCTGGTGGAACACCTAACCTTGGTGAGACTGCTCTTTGCCATTGTGCAGCTCGTAAGAAATATTCAATAGGTGCTCCATAATCGTATGGTAAAGTTTGTTTCATAGATGGTGAAGGTTCACGAGAGCTTGATGAAGAACTCATTTATAAGCTTTAAAAATAAACGTTCATCCTTTATTCCTCACTGTCGTCCGTGGCTAAGTTATAGTCATCTAATCTTATTATGGGGATGCCTGACTGTCTTACCTGAATGGCAAAGCAACAATCCCTCATAAATCCAATAAGTGGCTTTGGTACGTTTTCAGTTGCTAGTTCAATAGGTCCTTTAACAGACAATTTGTATGTTATTGGAGCAGTAGATGTTTGACCTTGTTGGAAGCAAAAGTCCACTTCTGTTGGAAAACCACATAAGAAATGTGTGTTGTCATAGCTATCCCATTTATGTTCCACACTACCATCATCCACCAATGACCTCATAACATCTTCATTAAATCCTATCATATCATTGTTTGTATTGCAGGCGTTCGCAACCATTTCATAAAATACAGGTCCATATGATTTTTCGGGTTCTGCAGGCATATTTCCATAAGCTCCCATGGAAAGCTGAAGATATTTAAACTTAGGGTTCTCAAAATTAACATAATAGTTGTCTTTCTTTCTAAATAATGCCCAAATACTTTTAACATTAATAGGCGTATAAGCTGCTGTAAATGTTGCACTTGAACTATCTATATTCTTTGAGAATGAACCGTCCATAGGAATCCAATCCATAACTTTAACAGGAAAACATAAAGCCTCGTTTGTATAATGTTCTACAAGTTCTGTATAAATGTTAGGGTCTAAAGAGAATGACTTTGGATGAATGAAACATTCATTAAAATCCATCTTTGTTCGAAATAGTTGCTGGGTTACAGTTGTAATAGTAACTGTTCCACTAGCTTCTACTGACTTCGTTATCATAGTGAATGGTTCATTCCATGGAACAAATTTATTTGTCGGTGGATTTGAATCTGAAGCAAATGCAACTTTAAGAGTTGGATTGAAAGCAATGATATCATTTACAGATATAGATGTGCATTGTAAGGCGTCGCTACTGAACTTTACTTTAAGCTGAATGTTTCCTGCAAAAGCTGGAATAAATCGAATAGCTTCTAATGGAAGGAATCTTCTAACAGGAATTCTTAAACGAAGCTTAAAATCAAATGATTTTCCTGCTGTAATTGGACCACTAACAATTTGTCCTGTTCTGCATGTTCCCGAATGACTCCATACATCTTCATGTCGAGTCTTTGAGAAAACATCTACTTTCTTTATTTGTTCGGTAGTTTGTGAGTTTGAAGTTATATATGCTTCTTCTCTTGCGTTGTCTTGAGAATATACGATACGACCATTTGCAAGGATTTGATATCCAGCAACTGCATAGAAAGCGTCATCGAAACCAATCCAAAATCCTGGTGGGTTTGTTTTATTGGAACCTGAACCAATTTCTTTATCTACAATAAATTGACCTTCCATTTTATACGTAATGAATGTATTGTAAAGGTCCAACATATTTTCACCAGGAGGTGAGAGATTGAATGTTACCCATGTGTTATCTTTAGCAGTTCCAGGTTGTGATGGAATCTTTGCGTCAGAATATTTTCTATTAGTGTCACCAATTTGAACTGCATTGTCTATGATATCGAAATATGAGCGAATCTGATGAATATGCTCTGCTGGAGTAAATTCGTTTAACTGTTCGTTCTGCATGTATTTACTTCAGATAAAAATATCTATTTACTTCATTATTCTCACTCTTCTTCTTGGCATTCGTGGTGGAAGTTGTTTCTTGACATTTTCAATGAACTGTACATTCTCTTTTGTCTCAACTTCTTTCACTGGTGGGTCAGGATTCTTTGACTCGGTTTGTTTTTCAATGAAATTCACGAACTTTGCAATAAGCTCTTGGTTCGTTATTGAAAGTACATCTGGCTTCTTTTCTTCTGGTTCTATTGGTGGCTCAGTTTGAACAGAAGGTTTTATATGGGCTTCGTGGACTTCACCCTTGCCATGCACCTTAATGTTGTCGCTTTCTGCATTCGCTAATGGAACCTTTCTTTTTCTTACGTATATTTTACCATCTTTACTCTGACTTACGTAATAGAAAGGATGTTGTATTCCTCTTGCGTCATTTAATATAATAGACTCTCGCTCTGATTTTGACAAGCTCATTTTACATCGGTTAAAGTTTTAATTTTGTTTTTTATCTGCAGTCAAATGACTCAGGCAAGCCCTACGGACAAGACCCAAGGGGTCATAGATGTTGAAGCATTGAAGAAAGAAATTCGTGAGCAAATTTTATCCGAACTGAAGGAACAAAAACAAGAACAAAAGCCAGAGAGACCAAAGAGAAAACTTAGTGAAAAACAACTTGCTGCATTAGCTGCTGGAAGACAGAAGAACCCACGTTTGCTGGCGAAGAAAGCTAGAGAAGAAGCTGAAGCAAAAGCTAAAGAAGCTGAAGCAAAGAAAGAGTAAATGGTTTATTTTTATCCGAATTAAATGTATAGACAAATACCTTTATCTGTTGCGTTCAGTAGTGAAAACCCTGACGTCAAAATAAAGGGGAACAGAGTAACGTTTAAGTTTCCAACAGACTGGATTGTGAACATAAATGAAGAGAAGTACATTGGCATAATAAATATGTATATAACACGTGCTTTCAGAAAGGTTGACTTTATACTTCAAGTCGAGATAGAAAATGACGAACAGTCTTTAAGCGCCCAAAACATTCACATATACAAATACTTTAAAGACGATACAACGTTAGAAGACTGTATAATTACATTTTACGAAAATTTTCAAAAGAAGTTTAACATTGAAGTACAAACTTTACAGCCTTTCCGTGAGTTTCTTGCACAACTGAAAGAAGAAGGAATTGTAGAAAGATTAATAGCTTTTCATTACGAGTTTGTACCAAATGAAGATGGAACACATGACTGTCAATTCATTGTATTCTCACCATTCAATGAAGTCGCTAAAAAGAAAGAAAATCCATTACGTATAAGATTTCAAATCTCTGAACCAAGTGATGATTTCAAGAATGTTTTCAATTATGATGCAATGCTTCCGAGGAAAAATGAATTTTCCGAAATTAGATTTCCAGGTATTTGGGATAGAAAGCAAGCTATATTATATTCAAACTTAAGTAAGGGAGTTGAAAATGAGTTCATTGGTCATACAAGAACTTCACCACTTCCTAACCCTAAATACTATAAATTAACTGGCTTCAATCGTGAGTTTTGGATAGACATGTTCTCCACTCATGACCATAAAGCACCTGTTTTGCTACCTCCAGACCATAAGGACTGTCTCTACATTGAAGCACAACTCTTAAACTCTACCATCGCAGTATTGTAAATGACCTCATTATTTTTATCACGAATGACCTCATTGCTGACAAAAATAAATGACCTCAGAACTTCAACTTACGAATAAAGCTTGTTTTAGTCGTTATTGAGAAGTTAAACTTTTCAGCAAAGCAAGGACTAGAAGACTTACATAAGTCAAATCCAATCTCTTGACCATCATGAAGTGCTTTGTAAAGTTTCATTAAACTGAACTCAGAGTCTTTGTCATATGTTCCAACAGGTATGTGAATGTTCTTATCTTCATTGTAATAGCATTGTATAGCTTCAGGAAACATTTCATTTGCTGTTAAAGCAAGGACGTCTTGTTTGACACCTTTGCAACGTGCATGGAATGCAACTTCATTTAAATCATTCGTGAGTAAGTCTATGTAAGTCTTCTTTCCACAAAATATTGACTTGTATGCTAAACTTTGTTTTCCAGGTGTTATTTCTGCGAAGTCAGAATGAAATTGACCAAGGTTCTTTCCTATAAGTTCGCGACCGTATCTCTTCTTAAACTCTGCTGCAAGCTTTGGTATGTCTTCATTGAAATATGCATGCTATCACAGTCCTGGTAGAAGATTTGAAGTCCCATATCTTCAGCAGTACAGAATACTTCACACATTATTCTCTTCGACATAGACAGAATGTTAACACCAAGTGGACAGAAGTTAAAGTGTCTGCAAATGCTTTTCGTTAGCTTGAAAATAGTTTTATCTGAACCATCCAAACCTTCGAACTTCACTATATGGTTGTAGTTTCTGATGGCATATCTTATAGCATCTTTGTCATTTACTATGGTTATTTTTGACTCAATAGGAGATAGAATAGTTTTGCCATAAATACTGTTCAGAATGAGCTTTATATTTTCTTGCAAAGGATTTCCTTCTTTCTTATACTTTAACCTTAACTCAAACAACTTCTTTACTTCATCTCTTATTCTAATATCTCTGTTTCCATCGTAATAGTATCCTTGCAACACTTCACATTTGACACCTTGATATTTTATGAGGTCTTGTAATGTTATATGGTCAACATACATTAAACAGCAAGTGTTTGAACTTCTGGGAACGTTAAGTTCTGGATTTAGTTCAGGGTCACAAACTATTAAAGGAAAGTGTCTATGTATTCCAATCTCTGTTATCTTAATGAGAACAAAGAAGCCAGACATAAACTTTTCACCAATGGGTTCCTTTTGGTCGTCATCGAATAAATGTCTCATGAGATACTCTGTGCTTAACATTTCTTTCTTCATAACCTTTGGAATACCTTCTAAAGTATAAAGTCTTGCTATAGCTGATGGATATAATGAAACAGCGTCGAAGTCAGCAATGAGTTTCTTTTCGCTCTTTTGTTTAATGTTATCTGACAGCATACATCTTCCACCTTGAATACAGCGTGAAATAAATTCTCTTGGTTTATTTGAGAGGTCATATAAATTTCCATTCGGGAAGTACACTCTGTTCTCAAATAATTTGTTAGCAATTGAACAAATACTAACGTAGTCATAAACGTTTAAATCAAATTCTTTCAATATGTCATTGCGGAACTTAACAAAACCTTCTCTTAAAATTCTTACATCTTGTTTGCAATAAAATGTGCTATACTTTTCTAAGTCGAAGTGGTTCTCATCTATTCTGCAAACCTTTGATGGAATCTATGTTTTTCATGAATGTATCTGCATCCGGATAAACTTACATGCTTCAGAAATGACACCAGTTCTGTTGTCATTTGCTAACAAAACACTGCTGTAGT